TCAGGTGCCTGACACAGCACCCTTGCTTCTGAAGGCACCTTAACCTGCCCTGAACTATACAAACATACTTGCAGTCTCTATTATTGCATCCACCAAGAGACAAGTGGTGAGTACCTAAGAACACACTGTATACAATCATCAATTAAATATAAATATGATACTTCAATGTCTCAGAGAAAAGACAATTTCAACTCACACAAAGAAGCAGGACAATGTCTCAAACAATTGACCAAAATACACATTCAGAAAATATAATACTAGAAATGGTATCAGAACTACTAATAAGGAAAATTTAAAAGAATGAATATTTAAGTGCCTTCAATGGACTGAGAGAATGATAGAGAAAACTGCAGATGTAATCAAGGAAATCACAAGACAAAAGTTCAGAAGAATTCAGAAAACTGACAAAATAAATGAACAAATTGGAAAATATACAAAAACAGCACTCAGAAAGTCCAACTATTAATACTAAGACATTGTTGCTGTTGTACCATCAAATCATCGGTCCTGGATAGGGTTTCTCAGGAGTGGCTACTAGATTTGAACTGTCGATCTTTTGGTTAGCAGTCCAGTGCTTATCCCACATTACTACACTAGGACTCCATCACTAAGACTTTAAAAATACATAATACACTGAAAGAACAAAGAAGTGGAATTGAGTCAATGGAAGGCCAAATCACTGATCTTAACATAAATTTCTCAATACTTATCTGCTAAAGAAACAAGCAGAAAAAAGAAGTAAAAAATCAGAGAAAGCCTAAGATTTATACGGGACACTATCAAAAGGGATAACTTACGTGTGATTCTAGAATTCCAGAACAGAAGAGACAAACACCCTCCTCCATGCCCCCCACCAAAAAAAAAAGAGAGAGAGAAAACTGTCCAAGAGTTTTTAGAAGAAAACGTCCCTAGCATTATAAAAGAACACATGCATTCAAGCAGCTGAACAAAATTCAAACAGATTCACCACAAAAGAAAATCACCAAGACATACTATTATCAAACTTTTCAAAACCAAAAACAAGGAAAGAATTCTGAGAACAGCTCAGGAAAATGAAAAGTTACAAAGGAGAAATAGTAAGACTAAGCCCTGATTTCTCAGCAGAAACCATGCAGGCAGGAAGACAATGAGATGAAACACATAAAACTCTGAAAGAAAAAAATAGCCAACCACGATTTCATATACCCTGCCAAATTGTACATCAAATACTGAGATGGTGAAATTAAGATATTTTTAGATAAACAGAAATGAAAAGAATTTGTAAAAACAAGACTAACCTTATAAAAATGATTCAAGGGAATTCTTTGGACAGAGAATCAACAGGAGCAGACAACCTGAGACTAACATACAGGACAGTATCACTCCACCTAGATACGTTGTTAGGGGCCGCCAAGTTGGTTCTTACTCATAGAGACCTTATGCACAACAGAACGAGACATAAGATCTTTTCACAGTGTTAAGACGTCACAGTGAAATTTTATTGCAATTGAACTCATCAGTCCTTAATGGTTCGTGTTTTCTGTCTTAAAAAGGCTTTCTCACACTGTGAGCATAAACATATTCTACTTTTTTGAACACTGAAAAAACATACCCTGAAAATAAGAAATAGTCTGTAGTTTCTTCTAAAGGTTTACAAGCTTTACAGGTGTAGTGCTGCGTATTAATACGATGGAGTGCAAGGTCAGCAGTTCAAGCTCACTAGCCACTCCTTGGAAACCCTATACAGGGTCACTATGACTCAGAATTTACTCAACGACACTTAACATCATCTAGTTGAAATTTTAAAAAATGATGTTAAGAGGTAGAGATCATTTAATTAGATCTCTACCTCATACCATCATTTTTAAAACTTCCAACTTCCAACTAGATTGCTGATGTTGTTGTTATGTGCCGTGGAGTTGGTTCTGACTCACAGATACCCTGTACAGAGTTTCCGAGGCTGTAAATCTTTACGGGAGCAGAAAGCCTCATCTTTCTCCAGCAGAACAGCTGGTAATTTTGAACTGCTGACTATGAGATTAGCAGCCCGATTCGTAACCATTATGCTACCAGAGCTCCTTCCAACTAGGTTAAAGACCTAATTATGATAGCAAACCTTTAAAGCCTGTGAACCTTTACACATATACATGTATATATGTTGTTATTGTTAAGTGCCGTCGAATCAGTTCCGACTCATAGCAACCCTGTATAGGGTTTCTGAGGAATGAATAGTGAATTTAAACCACCAACCTTTTGGTTCAAACTGACCATGCAGTCCAGTGCTTATCCTACAGCACCACATCAGGACTACTCCGTATACATATGTATATAACCTACTGCCACTGAGTCGATTTTGAACTCATAGGGATCTTGTATAGGGTTTACAAGGCTGTAAATCTTAACTGGAGCAAGCAGCCTCATCTTTCTCCTGAGGAGCAATTGGTGGGTTTGTGGTTAGGAGTCCAGTGTTTATCCTACACACAAACATATAAAACCAATTTTCTCTTTTCCACTTACTGAATAGGTCATACTTTCCCCACTGATTTATAATGCCACTGATGCCACATATTACATTTTAATATATGCATAGGTCTGCTACTGGGAACTCTAAGCCATTCCATTGGCCACTCAACTGAAACCTAGAGGTTTAAGAACTCCCACCATCCTAATCTTCAATATTGTCTCAACTAGTCTTAGTACTCTGTTATCCAATGTGAATTTTTAAATCAGCTTTTCAAGTTTTAAAGAAAACCCTGTTGGTATTCTGACTAAGACAGAACTGAATGTATATACATACTAATTTTGGGAGAACTGACCTCTGTAATATGGAGCTTTAAAGATTTTCTCTTTATCTTGTATTAAGACTCTAGCATTTCACTACAACCTATCCAGATATGGATTTATTTGTATTTAACCTGGCTGACACTCTAGAATTTACTTTTGATTTGAGGATTCAGATCCTTTTTTTAATACTAAATATTCTTAGCCATAGAAGTCCCCAATTAATCCTCTGTCTTGTTAACCTTTCAAATTTTTATCTTTCTCAGAATTCCGGGTAAATTTTTGTTGTTGTTGTAAAATTATAGATAACCCAACATTTGTCAATATAACATTTTTTGCATATACAAGACAGTGAAATTAATTATATCAATCATGTTGTACAACCATCATCAATATCCTCTGCCAAATTTTCCATTCCCATAAACAAAAACTCAGTGTTTCCTAAGTAATAACTACTCCCAATCTCACTTTCTCCCAGGAGTAAATTTTTACCTATCTTCCACCAAATTATCTCTTCAATGGTATAAAGGGTAAAATTATCCCATCTATGTATTGTTGTTGTTAAGTGCCACTGAGTCAGTTCTAACTCAGAGTGGCCCTGTATATGGTACTACATTTTTAATTTACAAAAATTCTACTTCGTTCTTTTCCACATTAACCTGTTCTTGTCTAACTGCATTTGTTTCGTAACTTTGAGCTCTCTTTAAATGGAAGTTATCCTTAATTTATTTCTTCAATCAACCTAAAAAATGCTTAAGGTCTCTTCCAAACAAAAGAATGTAAGTAACCATTAAAGAGAGTAAGATCATTCCATGTGAACAACCTCTAATATATTAGCAAAAAAGGCAAGCTATATAATATGTGCAGGATGCATTTATATAAAAGTGTGTATGTATGCTTGAACATGCATAAACTATCTCAGAAAGGACAGTAAGAAATTGGTAATAGTGATTGCCTTTGGGGAAGGAAACTGGGTGGCTAGGAGACAGAAGTGGGAGATAGACTTACTTTTCACTGTTTACCCTTTTGTACCTTTTGAATTTTGTACCACGTGCATGTATTACCTAGTCAAAAAAAAATAAATAATTTATTTTTAAAAATAAAGTCTTTTTTGGACTATTCCATAAAAATTAAATTCATCCAGAGAAAGGGTCTGTCCTGGTTGTTGATTTTATTATGAGGTTTCATCATGAATTTTGGAATTTTGATTATAGCCTCATTTTGAGTGCAAAAGTTAAATTTTTTTCTTTCTGTTTCTATTTAATGGTTTTATAATTTACTCCACTTGGTCTCCTGGGCCTCCCACACCAGATCAAGGCTTTATAATGATATCAGGCTTCAGTTTCAGGATGGTACTAAAGATATTACTGATTCAGTCACTCATTTAACGAGTGACTTCATTCAGTTCCTGGTCTAAGATATGTCTGTCTACTAAAACCAATAGCCTAGGTAGTGAATAGCTCTTTTTCCCCTTCAGCCTTTCACAAATGGAAGAGACATTCCAACCAATTCCCTGGCTTCAACCAGTGACTCTGGCTCTGGTTCTTACCTCACATGAAGCACTTTAGCACTTTACCTGACAGGAGAAAAATGACTAAATGCCAGTGCCAGCTTCCAGACTGAAAACCCAGTGAGTCTATGGCTTCAGTCCTGCTTATAACTTTGTGTCTGTGTTCCATTTCTGGTCCACAATGATGTGTATGTTGTTTCAGAGCCAAGCAGTATCTTTTTTTACTTAATATGTTGTTAATGACTGTTTTTAATCCACTCAACAGTGTAACTATTATTTACTTCTCACATTATTTAGAATTTACAAAGCTTCCAATAAGTCTACAAAGAACTTCTCTATGCATATGTGTTTTTTCCTGTAATAATCTAGATTGAGGGGAAGGCAGAAGGGAGTGTAAGAGATGTAGATAATTCTGTATAGATCATTAGCTCAAATGTATGACAGGACTAGCATAATAAATGGCTAAGATTCATAATGATGACCCTAACTTTCAAAGAGAAAACATAAAAGTCATATAAAAGTGAAAAAGATACTTCAAAAATATTTCAATCCAAAATGGTTAACAGTGAGTTTTGTAATGAAAAGGGTAAATTTCACAAGGGATAAGATTCACAATTGTGAATCATCTAGCACTAGTAGCCAAGGCATTACAAATTTTCATTAACTCCCAAAGTAGAATATTTTGGGCCACCCTAGTAAAGTTCACTTTATATTAGATTATAATACTAACCTGATATTATTTACACAATCTTCATGAGCTTCAGAAAGGGTTTTTATGTGCTTTGAAGATATAGGGTCAAAAAGCAGAACTTCAGTTTGTTCACAAGCAACTGTTAACACTGACCTGAAAGCAAAGGCAAACGTCTCTTTAGTTTTCTTGCATTTTCTAGTTATCAATATCCACTTGTAATTACACAATTATTAAATAACTTTTTGTCTATGTTAGCAAATAATTAAAAAAGATTAACAGTTATCTACTGTTGGCAAGAATAGTAGAAAATGGAATGCTCAGACATTATGTTGTGTTCAGTTGAGTTAATTACAACTCATAGTGACCCTATAAGACACAGCAGAACTGCCCCACAGGGTTTCCAAGGCTGTAATCTTAATGTAAGCAGACTGCCACATCTTGCTCCTAACAGATTAGTGCAGATTATCTTTGGAGAACACCTTTTAAGTATCTAAGTTTTAAATGTGTATACCTTTTTAAATGTGACTCAATATTTTTTCTGGGAAAAACCAATTACTGAAAAGTATAAGTATATATAAGCATATATTTCATTTGGAAGAAGAAAAATTGAAAGCAACCTAAATACACACAAAAAGGAAAAGGATTAATTATATAGGGTAAGGTACGCTCATAGTTAGGAATAGCATGCAGCAGTTAAAAAGGGGGTAAACTTATATGTATATAATAAAAAAAAAAACAACTCCAGAATATATGTGGATAAGGCAAAAAGTACTGCTGCAAAATCACAGAAATCTTTATCAAACAAAAATAGCAAAATGTTAAGCTACTGTTTCTTGATGTATCCTTCATCTAGGTCTCCACTCTACACTTCTGAACACAGTATGTCCATCTCTCTAACCCTTCCCAGAGGAATTTTGTGCTCTTCAATTTATACTAGGTCAAACGGCAGTTTTGGCATACTCGGGGGATTCAAATCATGCTCCTTTCAAAATGATGAGTTACTGTTGTTGTTGTTAAGTACCGTGGAGTCCGTTCCGACTCATAGTGACCCTGCACAGGGTTTCTGAGGCTGTAAATCTTTACGGGAGCAGGACACCTCATCTTTCTCCTGCGGAATCGCTGGTAGTTTCGAACTGCCAGCCTTGAGGTTAGCAGCCCGATTTGTGCCCAGAGCTCCTGGAAACAAACAAACAAACTCTGCAGGAGCAAGATCAGTGCTAGAAGGTGGATGTGGTATAGTTTCCTTGCTACCCTTGAGAATGAGCAGGCGCACTATTGTGTTGGAAAAAAATTCTTCAGCAGAATTTCCCCCTCCTTTTTCTCACCAGTGTAGTTCTCAACTTTCTCATGCTTCCATTCTCTAACTACACTCACAAGAGACAGTCGGTGAGAGCCTAAAAACACACCAACATACAATCATCAGTTAAATACAAATATGAAAACCCCCACAATTCCCTGGAAACAACAGACCATTATAGCTCACAATAAGAAACAAGAGAAAATGGCTCAAACAAATGACCAAGATGCAAAGCCAGAAAATGTTTCTGAGGAAGAAAAGGTAGTAGAATTAAAGAAAAAAGAATTCAAAGGAATGATATTTAGGTACCTTCAAAGAACTGACAGAAACATCAAGAAAAGCAAGGAGAACACAGAAATCACTTTAGAAGAATTCAAGAAAACATTATAAGAACAAACAGACAAAATAAATGCAAATTTTGAAACAGTACAAAACCTGCTATTGGAAATCCATAAGATTAATTTTAAGATTTCAGAAATGACAATATATTGAAAGGGCAAAGGAAAGTAGAAAGAAGGCAAAGGAGAAGCAATGGAAGTCCAAATTAGTAAGCTTGAAAATATCTCTCTCAACACTAGTATGCTAAAACAATTAGAACAAAGAACAAAAAAAATCCCAAGGAAGCCTGAGTTATATAGGACACTACCAAGTGGAACAAATTACAGGTAATCAGAATTCCAGAACAGGGAGAGACAACAAAAAGCACAGAGAAAACTGTTGGAAGAAAACTTCTCTAACATCTTGAAAGGCAAGTAGATAAGCATACGAGAAACTGAACGACCCCAAACAGGATATATTCCAAAAGAAAATCACCAAGGCATATCAAAATCAAATTTTCCAAAATCAAAGACAAGGAAAGAATCCTGAAAGCATCTTAGGAAAAACAAAAAGTTACCTACAAAAGAGAACCAGTAAGACTAAGCTCTGATTTCTCAGCAGAAACCACTCAGGAAAGAAGGCACCGAATGACATATACAAAATTCTGAAAGAAAAAAATTGCCAACGAAGAATCATATTTTCAGTAAAGCTGTCCCTCAAATATAACAGTGAAATTACGATGTTTCCTGATAAACAGAAATTAAAGGAATTTGTAATGATCAGACCAATTTTTCAAAAGAAACGCTTAGGGGGGTTCTGTGGACTGAGAACCAGTAACAGCAGACAAAATCTGAGACTACCATGCATGACAATATCACCCAGAACTCAATCCAGATACAGAAGTATTTAAAATTAAGCAAACCTACAAATTGAAAATAGGTAACCAGAGAGATCAATGTATAATGAAGTCAACAACAAAGTCAATAGAAGGAATAGTGTAGATAAAGAACTTCCAAGTGGCAAGAAAGTCAAGTAAACTTCAAGATAAAACAAAATTTGAAAATAGGGAAAAAAACACAATAAATTGCAGGATAACCTGTCATTTACCCTATAAATAATACACTTGTACATCAAAATTTAAAAAGAGGAAAATCAGAAAGATTTAGTAAACATTAACACAACAAATGAAAATGAAAAAAAAAAGAAAAAAAAAACCACCAACAAAATAAATTTACAAAATATTATGTGGAACAAAGAAACCAGCAGCACCACACACACAAACCCAAAGCAAAATGACAGCAATCAATTAGTAATAAATGGATTAAATGCACCAGTCAAAAGGCAGAGAGAACAGAATGGATAAGAAAACAGGATCCTTCAATAGGTGGTCTACAAGAAAAAATACATAAAAAAGATGGAGACAGTCTAAATGTCCATCAACAGAAGAATGGTTAAGCAAACTCTGGTATATACACACAATGGAATAATACACAATGTTGAAGAATAAAGATGAATCTGCAAAGCACTTCATAACATGGATAAACCTGGAGGACATTATGCTGAGTGAAGATGGTCAATCACAAAAGGATAAACATTGTTGATATGAATGTTGTGAAAGGTCAAAAGGAGATTTTTTTGATAAAACAGTCTATGATGGTTACTAGCAGAGGGAAAATTATTCATGGATTAATTATTCATGGATTAGAGGATTAAAATGTTAACATGGGTGACAGGGTAGACAATGTACAACAGGAGGGAGGTTGGAAAAGGAAGATGAAAGTATCTATCTGTAGACTAAGGGAAGAATGCAAAAGCTAAAGTGAGTCCAAGTAACTACTGTTACCTGATTATACATGGAGGGGACTGCAATCATTGTACTAAAGCACGGTATATGATTTGGTGATTGTAAAACTGTAACCTTCACTCAAATCACAATAAAGGTTTAAAAAATGATCGACGTTAAATACACAGAGTCCATGGTATAGTCACTATTCTTCAACAAGCCCAAAATTCAAATGCACTGATTCTTCTAGTCTTCCTTATTCATTATTCAGCTTTCACATGCATAAGAAACTGAAAATAAGACAACTTGGGTCAAGTGCACCATTGTTCTCAAAGTGACATCTTTGCTATTTAATATTTTTGAAGCAGACTTGCCTAATACAGTACATCATTTAATTTCTTGACTGCTGCCTCCATGTGCTGATTGTGGATCCATGCAAAATGAAGTCTTTGACAACTCCAATCTTTTCTCATTTATCATGATGTTATTTATTGGTCCAGTGGTGAGGATTTTTGTTTTCTTTACATTGAGGTGCAGTCCATACTGATGGCTGTAGTCTTTGATCTTCATCAGTAAGTACGTCAAGTCCTCTTTGCTTCCAGCAAGGAGGCTTGTGTCATCTGCATATTACAGGTTGTTAAGTCTTCTTCCAGTCTTGATGGCACGTTGTTATTCATATAATCCAGCTCCTCAGATTTTCTGCTCAGCATGCAGGCTTAATAAATATGGTGATAAGATGCAAGCCTGATGAACACCTTCCCTGATATGGGCTGACTATCCCTTTGTGCATACCCTTTAAAGCAAGCTTTTAAAGGTGCTGTTCTTATCTTAAGTAGCCTTGGGATCTTTCTGTCTACTTGATTAACTGAGGTACTCTGGATGTGCACTACAATCTTCCTAGTGAGGATAAATTTATCTTTCTCTTTGAAATGATCCATTTTGGTGTATTTTCAATCTAAAAGATCCATTCTAAAACGTTCAGAACTATTTCCCTGATGAACTGACATTTTATAATTATAAAGCGACCTTCTATTTCTAGTCAATTTTTTTTTTGCCTTGAAACCTATTTGTTTGATATTAATATGGCTCGCCAGCTTCCTTTTGTTGTTTGATATATAATTGACATAGCTTTTCTCGATCTTGTAGCAGCGTAGGATAAGCACTGGACTGCTTATCCCCAAGGTCAACAGTGCTCCGCGGGAGAAAGATGAGGCTTTCTGCTCCAGCAAAGATTTCCAGCCTCAGAAGCCCTACCCAGGGCCGCCGGCACCTAACAACGACGGCAATGTGTGCCTCAAAGTGCCAGCAGTGGCCCGGTTTTGCGGCGATAGACAGGCAGCTCTCCTTCTTGGAGCCTCGGGTCGGGGATCAAAGGCCTGTCTACCCCAGAGGGCCGGGCCAGGGAGCAGGGGGCCCAGTGGACTGGCACTTACCCGTCCGGGGAGTACTCGAGGTTGAAGACAGCACCATGGGTGCGAGTGCTGAGGTACACCGAGTCTGCAGGATGGATGGAGCCATAAAGATTAGTCATGGTACGGAAATTGTCCCGCGCCGGATCCACGAACAGCCGGCGGCCCAGACTGCGCTCCCTCAGCCACCCGAAGAGCCGGGCGCCAGGGCTGGGCAGGCCGGCGCCCAAGCCCGGTCGGCCCCGGCTCCCGGCCCCGC